GCTTCCTGTGCTGATGCATTCTCCCTTTTGCTTTGTCAGAGAGTCATCCTGGAGCAGCCCSCTCTGCATCACTCAGTAGAATAAAWACCCTTTAAAATCTTAGAATAAAAACACTTTTTGTTTGGTTTGGGGTTTTTTAAGGAGTGGCTGAAGATGCTGGTTTGGTTTCTAGATCAGCCYCTCCCTGCAGCTCTGAGCTGGAGCATCTGGTGCAGATGGAGGACTGGGAAATGGGTCACCTGTTCCTGGAGTTCTCTGTTTATCCCACCCCTCATTTGAGTCTAATTAAGGTGTTTTTGGGGTGATTCAGCCCTTCTGACCCTTTAGCCTGTCAGGGGTGGGGTGAGAGGAGCTGCAGCAGCCTCACTAATTGTCCCAGCCAGGACTAATTGTGCAAACTGTGCCTGGAGGTGCTGAGACCCAGTAAATGCTCTGGTTCATCATTTGTTCTGCCCTTGAAGGACGAGAGGATTGCTGAACTCGAGGAGAAGATCAAGACTCTTCAGAAAGGAGAAGGTAAAAATTATTCTACCTTTGTGGTACCTGTGGGAGAGCTGCAGAGCTCTGGGTAGGGCGACAGACCAGGTTTTGGAGACATCCAAAACCCAGGAACCTCCTTGTGAGAGGTCCCAGCCACACAGAGAGGCCATTTCCCAAAGCAGATCTGCACTTTAACTCGTGTCTGTTCCTCTGGTGTGGCACAAAACATMATTTCCTGACCTATTTTCTCTGGGTTTCTAAGTTTCCATGGGTAAAAAGCCAACCACAGCACTTGAGGATGGTCAGAACCCCCAAGAGCAGTAAATTACTGAGAAGCAGAGAAAAACCAAAAACCTGCTTGGAGTTTCCCACAGGATTCCAGGTCCTAGCTCTAAATTGACCCCAGCTTTCAGTGAGTCACAGAAKGGCTTTTCCCTGCTCAGTTCCCTGGAATCCAGCAGCTTTCCAGCCCACACACATTTCCTGCAGTGGCTGAACGGCCCTGSCTGTGCAGAGCTGTGGTGAGTTCCCCATTTCCTGAGCACAGAATAYCAACGTGTCTGTGAAACCACCAMCATGTGGTTTGAACCTCYTKRTGCATTGTGCTGGCATTTCAGGATYCAGCTTCAGTGGACACTGCTCATTCTTGAGGCTGACAGAGCCACCAATTTCCAGTGTGGAATTGCCAACAGCACCACTCACATCATCCCCCAGTGCAGAACTTCAGCAGGGCTGCTCACAACTGTCTCTCAGTCTGTCAGCATTGGTGCCAAACCTCTCAATTGTCACATTCAGCTCATGTTTGATGAGTTCATGGGGCTGTGCCTSGTGTGACACAGATCTCCTTTGAGGATCTACATGGAAAGATCAGGGTTTCTCTTACAGATGCTGCTGATTCTGCTACAGAAGAGCTGGAAATGAGGTGCCTTCAGCTGCAGAACCAGGTCTGGGAGATGGAGGTGAGGTGTTGCTCTGCTTGCCCTGAGCCAGCTGCTCCTTTGGGATCATTGCAGTCCCAGTTTGGCTTTTTTCCAGCTGCTCCTTTGGGATCACTGCAGTCCCAGTTTGGCTTTTTTCCAGCTGCTCCTTTGGGATCACTGCAGTCCCAGTTTGGCTTTTTTTTCCAGCTGCTCTTTGGTTCATCACAACTCTACAGCTCTGAACAGAAAGAGCAGGTTGGATGTGAGCAGCAGGGCAGGAGGTTTTGAACACACAAACCTCTGTGCTTCCTGCAAGCTTCATTTTGATTTCCAGGGGTGCAGAAATGCCCTTTGCAGCTCCTCCACTGTCACTACAAATCTTTCCTCCTCCCTTTTCCTGATAGAGCTGCTATCACTGCCCTGCCAGAGTCTGTCTGTCTGTCTGCCAGGGCCGAGGAGCCCCAGGACAAACYTCTTCCCCCTCCCCTTCTGCCTCTCACAGTCACAACTGGCTGYTCTCAGGCTCCCATTTCCAGTTTTCTGGTCACCAGCACTGATTTGACTTTCCTCTTTCAGCGGTTCCTGAATGACTATGGTCTGGTTTGGGTTGGAGAGACGTGGGACCAGCTGGAAGATCCAGAATCACTCCAGGATGAAGAGGAGCTGCCAGCAAGGAACATCTGGAATCCAGGTAAAGCACCAGCACTCGTGGCTGAAGGTGCTATCCCAGCTGCCACTCCATGCTCAGAGAAGGGAGAGTAGATAARCCCCAAAACCTCAGGATTTGGGTCTTCAGAATTTGTGATTCTGTGCCAAGATCTTCATATCGGTCCAGCTCAGGGACACAGACATGGAGCTGTCTAACAGGAGCTCAGCAGAAGGTTTAATTTTATTTATTTGTATTTTGTACACCCTTCTSGGGGCAGAGGAGAGAATCTGATGGCTCAGCCCTTCAGGAGGAGCCCTCATTGCAGCTGCTTCCTGCAGAATTCACAAACCCTGCACATTTGACTGCTCTATAATGACATTGGCACAGAGTGGGTGGAAAGCAGAAYCAGGTGCTTTGTGTACATACAAGCTGTAGTAATTTACCCACRGAGTCTGAGAGCATTGTTTGCCTTTCCTCCCAACCACGTGAGGGGTTTGATTGAGACCTGACTCTGCCCACTGGGGTCCCACAGTTTTGGCAGTGCCTCCTTAGGAAGTGGTGGCAGAGTTAAAAAAGAAATTTTTTTGTGCTGCAGAGCCAATGCTGCATCCTAAGAACCATGCAAATATTAGACCAGGCCTTCCCTTCCACACAGGAGAGGAGACAGAGGGAGATCAGCAGAAACAGTTTTGGTTTCAACTCCCTGACCCTTGCCAAGGGTATTTCCGCCCTTTAGCAACTTGTAAAAAGCAGAACAACCCAGGACTTTAACACAACTGAAATCTTTTCTCTCATTTCCTCTGCTGATTTCGTTCCTGTGTCTCCTCACAACCCTTTTACTGCCTCACCCTGCAGCACCCAGACAAACATCCTGCCTGTGTTTACCCTGGCACCTCCTCAGCACCTGTGCCCTGATCCATTGATCCAATCTGCTTAATCCAAGCCGTGCAGCTCCTCGTCATGCAGTGCACAGGAACAGCACAACACTTGTGAGAGGATAAACAAGCCCAGGAGTGTGGTGTGGGCTCTCTGTTTGCAGCCTGGTGCTGCATCCTCTGCCCTGCCCTGCCCTTGTGGTTTCACACACGCCCCTGTAGACCTGGCAGCTCTGTAAACATGTGAGAGCCAAAGCACAGGCAGCCAGAAATGTCTCACACACCTAGAATTCACACAAATAAATCTGCTCAGCCACCACTCCTTTCCCCATAACTCTGATTCCTCTGTCGCAGGTGAAGCCATTGTTTGCCAGCGCCAGATCGATTTTGATTTAATYTTGGAGAACATTAAGGATTTGAACTTGCTGGTCGGAGAAGGCATTTCTGAGATCGAGCACACGCCCCAGGGGGCTCGGCTGAGGAGGCCAGAGCCCCTCCCTCTCACCCTGTACCAAAATGGGATCATCGTGGGCAACGGAGCCTTCCGGCCCTACCAGCACCCAGCCACGCAGGTAGGGAAGGGCTGCAGAGGAATTGGAGTCATCTCAAACCACTCACTGAGCYCCAGGAGAGGGGAGAGGCCTTCAGAGCTCATCTCAGTCCTCCAGAGGAGTCCAGCTCCACACTGCATCCACCAGTGCCTTTAAAGCTTTGTGTGTCTGTGTGCAGTAATGTTTAGAGATKGAGATTGTGTGTCTTTGCTGCAGAGCTTTCTGCACGGCCACAGCACCACAAACAGGAGCAGAAAGAAAGGTCAGAAAGGTCAGTCTGAGCTAACCAGAGTGTCTGAGGTGTGACCACGAGCCCTCCTGTTGTTTCAGCAATGTCTGCAGGACATCATGGATGGTTATTTCCCCTCAGAGCTGCAGCCACGCTACCCCGATGGTGTCCCCTTGCAGGTGAGTGCCCACCCTGCTTTGGGGCAGGAATTGCCCTCTTGCTTCCCAAGATGTTGAGGTTTTCATTTCTCAGTGTGCTGGGGAGGCTGAGGTTTGTGCTCTGTGCAGGTGTGTCTGGGCAAAGGGAGGCACAGGGGGCACCTGCAGCAGCCGTTACAGGAAATGTTTGGCACCAAGGTTCAAGGGTTTCTGTGCCTCACTGAGCTCGGCTTGAAATGAGGTTTCTAAGAGCACAGCAGGCTCTGTAAAACAAGCAGCACATGCAGGAAATGAAGAGCTGTGTCATAAAAAGATTCTCAGATAGTTCCCTTGGAAAAGCTTTTAAACTGAGATTGAACAAGTACATTTAAAGAGGATGGCATGAGAGTTTATTTTGCCACAGTTTAAATGGATTTGACCATGTGAGGTTCTCTTGGGCCYCAGTTTTTGATTGCTCAGAAATGGCAAAGAGCCAAAGCCACATTTGCAAGCAGAGAGCCTCAGAGGACTCAAATCTGGGTCTTGGAGGGCACCTGAAATGTCAGCAGGGACAACCAGAGGCTGGACCTACCCTGTGCCACCACAAAAGCAGGGCACAAAGGCATGAGCAGCACAAGGTCAGGCCAGCAGCAGCGAGCTGGGAGCTGTGCAAGTCAGGCAGCCACGTGGAACTGGGGTTGTGCAAAGCTCTGGGGACTGAGGTTCCCCAGAACCTGCTCATCACTGGCTTTGGTTGGGGTTTCTAAGTGCTGGGTGTCATTACTGTGGTTTATTGGGTGTGATGCAGAGAGAAGAGCTCGAGCAAAAGGCAGATTTGCTCACAGGTCACTGACAGGAGGGATGTGGTGTTTCAGAAGCGAGATTTTCCAAGGAGCTTTCCTGGTCTTGGGCAGATGGTTGGAACTTCAGAATCCAGCAAAGTGCAGGAAACCTCTGAGATCACAGGTAAAATCCTAAAGCTGCCTCAAAAATGCACCTCATTCCCTAAGAGGAGGGTTCTTAAAGCTTGCCAGGGTGGCAGGAGGGCAATGAGAGAATCTCAGCAAGGAAGGCAGCACTTGTGGGTCAGGGTCTGCTGCTGCCTCAGGAGCTGGGAGCCACACACAGGATCCTCTCAGCATTAACCCTCCTAAAGAATGAGACATGACAAGTAATAAAAGAACAGAAATTCAGCAGGTTTCAAACAACATACCTGCCCTGTTCCTTTCTGAAAAGCCAGGCCCCTTCTGCCTTCACCACATCAAAGGATGCTGAGGGAACACTGCAAGCCTTGAGGAGGACTYGCTTGCAAACATCTCTCCTTTCTCATTCCAAAAATGTAGAGACCTTCAAGCCAAATCAATCATAACTGTACTGAATATGGGACAGTTTCTCTTCAGGTTTTCACAACAGAATAAAGGACAAAGGCCACAGATTCCTCATTTTGCTTCCAGACACTCGCAGTCTGTGTAAGCAGCATCTGACAGGGCTGGGAAATCAGTCAGAGAGACAGAAAGCAGWGTGTCTGTGGGTGCATCACTGAATGCCCACCCCATTTACAACCCCTGAGAATCCAATGTGCTCATCACCCCAAGGCTAAAGCTAAATATTCCCTTTATCCAACCAGTAAAAAAAATAAATGTCCAAACAGAAAGGAATGGACATGTACAAACACATCCCCACAAAGTAAAAAATGTCCAAGCCTGTAAAATGGTGATAGTCCTGGTTTTTGACAGCAGAGCTACATGCCTGCTGTGCATCCCAGGCTGCACAATTCTCACTGTTAATGTTGACAATCAAACAGTCAGAGGGGCAGAAATTGGGACAACTTCAAGAGAGGAACCCAGAGCTRCTCTGGGGTGCTGAGAGCTCTCCCTGTCGGCTGCTGAGCTCTCTCCTTTCMCCAAATCAGCCTCTTCTGAGGGCAAAATGTTTGTCACAAAGGTCACACACAGACACATGTCCCCTCTGCTCTGGCAGGTCCCAAARCCTCCCTGGAGCARTCTGCCACACTTTCCAAGGCCCTGSAGCACAGAGGGAGAGKGGTCAGTGCCCGAGGTGTGGCTGGAGCAGCACCACAGGTATGAGTGGAGTTCCCAGACATCTCCAGAGGAGAGTGGAGACACCCTCCAAACYCACCTGGCTTTGTCTGCAGGGCTCTGATGGGCAGAGCAGTGAAGAAATCCTGGTGGAAACATCCAGGCTGGCTGCCCTGGAGAGGCACAGGTACAGCCAGGATCTCCTCTTCCTCCTATTTYATCACTGCAGCTTTAGTTCAGGGGSTTCAGTTGAAGTAAATGGACTTTYYCCYYTTWTA